GAATTAATGCATGACAACTGGATTGTGACTAGGACAACCTATAATGATGACTGAGACGTGCAGTAGAGTTGTGTAGGGGTTCAGTTTTTCAACTGTTTGCTTACCAACTGTGACTTGGATGGATCACTTTTTCTTGACAGTCGTTTATGCATCTAGATCAGGGGATCAGAATGAGAGATAGAGCATATAGGTAGCCATGTGAGATTTGATTCTGCTCGTTTCTTTCTTTTGCGATAGTTCCCTCTTCCATGATGTGTAGCATTCACGTTGTCATTAGCTAAGATGATGGAGGCATAGGATTAGCCCAGGACCAAATTGACTGTCCTGGTGTGTCATACCCCCTAGTCAGCCCCTTTGAGCCGTGTGTTATCCTTTCTTTCGGTCTACAATGAAAAATCAACCTTTTGCATCTCTTAGAAGGTTCCACAGAGTGGTTTTTACATATTCTCTGCTAAATATAATGTGAGGGTTGGAGGTAGTTCTTAAAAAGTTGGGCATGTGTTTGAAAAATGTGAATAGGTGGTGGTTCTCTCAAGAAATAAAAAAAAGGAAAGAAAAAAATGAATGAAAACAAAAGAGAGCCACCACTAAAAATCTGAATAGTGCCCATTAAGTAGTGTTTCTTAGCAGTCTTGCTTGAAAATACTAACATTTATGTGATCTCCTTCGCTCTTGTGCTCTAAAGAATTTGAGTAATGCAGAATGGCATAAAGAAAGTAAGTGGTTTGATTGACTGTGAGTTTGTTGGCTTTGGAAATGTGGAACCTTGTGCTATGAATACTTCCACCACCTAAAAGGCCTTTTCCCCATGTCCTAGACCCTATCCAGTCATTTGAACCTGTGTCTAAGACTTCCGGATTAGTTAGTGATGACACCCATTTATGTGAGCTCTAACACTTAGAGGATGCCGTCATGGTGAAGAGATGTTAGGGATTGAGAGAATAAGCATGCGCGTTTTTCGCATCAAATTGTCCTGACCCCACTGGTCGAGAGTGAGCGATTCATTTTCTCATATTCTCTATACTCTTGTACCCCGGTGAGGACCTAGATTGCTTGGTCTCTATTCTGATATCTCGAGTTTTGTGCATGAGGTGACTTTCTTGAGTAAGTGGTTGAGTCAAGTTTATGTTGGTTGATGAACAGAAGGGAGACTCCTCCTTTACTCGATTTTGCTGCACTCAAATGTCCTCTGTGGTGGTTGTCCAGGTTGCTATTGAAGTTGTTCGTGCGTTGATATTTGAAAGCCCGTATGATTCACGTGTTCTGTGCCTATATGATTTGTCCTCAATGTTGGTATGATTGAAATATGTGAGCTTACCTTGTATCTGACTTGGTTTGCTTGGGGACAAGCAAACGGTTAAGTGTGGGGGAGTTTGATAGACCGTTAATTGCACATGTTTTTACTCCTAATCTTACACCGTTAAAGATGTTGATTCTCGTGTTTTATGCCAATTTCATGCTAGGTTGTTCTTGTTTGTTATATTTCAGGTCCTAGTACGTGAATGAAGGTTTGGGAGCGAGTTTGGGGTCGATTGGACAAAGATCGGACGTGTGGCGAGACGCTGAGGAAGCCACACGGGCACTCCTAAAACCCACATAGCCGTGTAAGGAACCCATGTGGCCGTGTGGGATTTACCGAGCCTTCACACGGGCATCCTGGAGATTCCACACGGCCGTGTGTGTCGTGGCTGTGTAGGAAGCCTGAAGCCACTTATCGAAACTCCGTGTTTTGACACTCACACGGGCAGCCTGGGAAAATCACACGGCCGTGTGGACTGCCTGTGTGGTCGGGATTTTCTGGGTTTTAACCCAATTTAGAGCCAAAAGAGAGGGGATCGACTTTTCAGAGCAAAAACAGAGCCCTAGAGAGAGAAAGTGCGAAGAACACATCATAGAAGTGATTTTGGAGCTGGGTTTCATCAATTGAGCTTGGAGATCATCATAGGAGTGAAGATCATCATCCCAAAGCAGATGCTTCCCATTGTTATGAGTATGACTGCTTTGTATTCTGTTTTCCTCTCTCTCTCTCTCTCTCTCTCTCTCTCTCTCTCTTTATGGAGTAGAACCCTCTCTCACTTGGGTATGAAGAACCCTAGTTCCATGTGTTAGGGATCATGATTTTAATGACTTGGGATTGCTATACTGTTTGGTTTTAATCGAATAATGCATGATTCATTGAATTGATTGAAGTCTGATCAGCTTTTCTTGATTTCTGCTGCAACCTGAGATAGATAGAATCTGATTAGGTTGTTAGAGCTTCATCATTCGGTAGTAGTAGATTAGTTATACGAGGGTTAGTCAGTCTACTGCTTTGTACTGGAATCCAATTCCAGTAGTGAAGTTCTGTGCTTATTGCTTCAGCTTTCTATCCCGGTGAAGACTAGTCGTCTGCCGGGTAGTTAGATTGAGAGGGCTTGGTCAGCTTAAGAGATTCCAAGTTACTGTCGGATCTTCCGCAGTTTAATCAACAGTAAATCAACCCAGGGTAGTTGCAACTGAGACCTAACTAAGGAGGTAGGGGGACTCATTCCCGAGTGACTCTTCCTTTGCTTTAACCGAATCAATTCCTGCTTTCTTACTGCTTTTAGTTACAACCACAATCAATCAACTTAGTTGGCTAGATAATAGATATTCACGGAGTAGGAAGTAGATCTAGACCCCGGGTTGATAATTAGAACTTGTCACTTTACTGCATTCCTGGGCTGCGATTACACTTGGTGGCTGTTTGGTGTTGTGTCGTAGCGTGTCAACGACATTTTCTAACCAAAATCGTTAGTCAGCAACTTGGGGTTACTCACTGCTGCTGGCTGTTGGTTGCCTCTATAGTTACCATATTTTCAACTCCTTCCGTATCCACATGCTGCTGTTTACTAGTGGTTCTGCTGGCTCATGATCAACAGAAAGCGACGCTTTTTGACCTCACTCTGATCCCTCCTCCAACAGCAGAGGAGTATGCGCAGCTTGCCGATCACTATTTACATATTTGCCTCCAACAATTCGGCTATTGTAGCCTATTGGAGTTACCCATTTTTATCAGTGGTCTAGTCGCATTTGGAGGGCATCTATGTTTGCTGGGTGTTTTGATTATAAGACGGCTACGAACTGTTTCCAATGCCTGTAGAAGGTTATGGAGACAGGGGATGAAGAGACAGTGGAAGGTTGGGGAGTTGTGTTATGGTTTCTATGGAAAGAGTGAAACACCCAACTCTTCAATGGCTGAAAATTGGATGAAGACGAGATTGTGATATAGGCAAAGTATTATTTTGTGGACTATAAAACTCACCAGAGCCACACACAAGTAGCCATTAGTCCTCATGCGATGACGGTATGGAAAGCTCCGGAGGCGGGGAGATTTAAAGTTAATACTGATGCAGGTTTCACGGAGGATGGGTTTGTGAAGCTGGTGTGGTGATTAGAGGGGAGAAAGGTAGCTTCTTGGTAGCTGCAATGAAGAAGATTGAGGGGAGTTATGATGTAGAGATGGGAGAAGCAATGACGACAGAATTTGGCCTACAGCTGGCCCATCAAGCTAATGTTACTAATCCAATACTTGAGTCCGACTGTCTTACGTTAATTACTTGGATTCAGCAGGCGCAGGAGATCCAAATGAAAGTTGGTGTTGTGAGTAGGATCGTCCGACGTTTGTTAATGGAGATGGGTAATGGAACATGGAATCATGTGAGACGCCCTGCGAATGAAACTGCATATCTCATGTCTCGGTATGCTACCCGAGGAATGGAGGCAATTGTTTGATTGGAAAGACCCCCTATGTTTCTACTTGATTAGTTACAGGTTGACAATGTAACAACTTCAGCTGATTAATAAAGTTTACCACATTTTCAGTAAAAAAAAAGAGTTTCTGAATAAAAAAACAATTTGAAACATCACACGACTAGACAACTACAAGTCCACCAGAAGAACCTAAAAGATATATGATATGACAATCAATATAATCTAAGGATTAAACAACATTATCCACATAGGTAGGAGGATTACGGATTTTACAAAGTAGTAAAATAGAAGGATCATGAACATAAATAAGTCCTTCCAAAAATTGAACTGTCAAGATCGGACCTAAGTCACGACATTTCCTAACCAAAATCGTTAGTCAGGAACTTGAGGCTATTCACTGCTGCTGGCTATTGGCTGCCTCCGTAGTTTCCATATTTTCAACTCATTCCGTATCCACATCTTGTCGTTTACTAGTGGTTCTACTAGGGAACGGCTACGGTGCCAATTGTACAATAGTTAGCACCGTCCTAACCAACGGAAAAACTACTACTAGTTTGAATTAGTAGTGATTTAGCTTAAATGTTGTATTGATTTTATAACAATCCGTAGTGATTTCGTTATTTTTAGTAGCGTTTTTTGCTAGTTATCACCAATGTTGTCAGAACCGAACCGGAGCATGACCCGGTAATGCGAACGGCTCGCACTTTAGTGGTCCAACCGGCATTAGACCGTTTAAAAATCGTTAGAGAACCGGTACCTAATAAACGTTATCAGTATAAATAATGGACATTTCTTAATCAGAGCTCATCTCTTTCCTTCAAAATTATGAAATGGAAATAAGGATTCAATTTGAGAGCCCGACGTTTTTGGTTTTTTTCAATTTTCAATTTTCTACAATTTTTTTAATTAAATTTAGTGGTTGAATAGCAAAAACCGGACGAGCGGCTCGATTGGCTCGAACGGCTAACCGTCTCGGCCGCTCGCCAACCGCTACATAAAACCGGAGCGACTTTTAGACTGTTCCGAGCCGATTTTGTGACCGGGTGGTGGTTTTACCGATCGGGCCGAGCGGCTCGGCTCGGCTTTAATAACACTGGTTATCACGGTGCTAACCCTATAAGGATTAGCACCTAATCCCATCCCTTCTACTGGCTCATGATCAACAGAAAGCGACGCTTTCTGAACTCGCTCTGATCCATCCTCCAACAGCAGAGGTTATGCGCAGCTTGTTGATCACTTGTATACATATTTGCCTCCAACAATTCGGCTACTATAGCCCATTGGAATTACCCATTTGTATCTTTGGTGACAACAAGTAGCCCAAGGCCCATTTTAACATCGGACGGCTGGACTGGCCCAAATGCTCCTCTGGTGGAAAAAAAAAAAAAAAAGAGAATAATAACAAGAAACGGATAGAGCGAGAAGGAGAAAAGAAGAGCAGCCAGCACGAAGCAAGTTAACCGGCTTTTTTTCTCAAGCATCTTATCTGCAAGACACAGCAATCTTCCCAAAGCTTTCAGCCATGGCGTCGCTCATGGCGGCAGCTGTTCCGTCCGCCACCCCTCGTTCGCTCAAACTCTGCCCTGGCTTCTCTTCTTCTCGTTCAGAGATTCAAGGCACGTCCTTCGTCGTGGCCTCATTCGATTCGCTCACGCTCTCGGCTTCTTCTTCCGCTTCGTCATCGCTTCCCTTGGGTAATTTCCGGACTTATCTCTTACGCAGATGATAACTTTACTCTGTTGAATGACCTAATTTCTCTGCTCTTTCCAGTTTACTGCGGCAGAGGCGACAGGAAGACTGCTAAAGGAAAGCGATTCGCTCACTCGTTCGGCAATGTTGGAACTCTCATCTTAGACTGTTTCGCTGTAGAATTCAAAATGTTCATCACTACCTTCGTAATTGTGCTTACGTTCTTGTTGTTTATGGTGCAGGCGAGGCCGAGAAACAAGAAGAAAGGGAGAGGGCCGCCGAGGATACCGGTTCCTGCAGCTCCGTTAAATCCAGATGAACTGGTACAAGACAGCGAAGAAGTCGCCATTGAAACCGATGAGTGATGAGTTCTTCTCCCATGTTTAATTTTTTTTTTTGTGTGCTGATGAACACTTTTCTGTAGATTTTCAATTGTTGAAACTACGCTGCTGCTTCAATGTGATCCCTTTTGCATAACGTTTATGTTCAATGACTATTTCATCTGTCATTTACTTGCTTGGATTTTCAGAGTTTAGGTCTTGAGGTTGGGATTTTCAGGTTTTGGTAATCTCAGAAATATGTTCTTTAGGTTCATTGTTGCTTCTCTGCGGTAATTTCGATTTCTGCGGAACTTTGCTTTTGCTAACTTAAGAGTAGGGTCTACTAAGTCATAAGTGATGAGAACCTTGCTAGGTTGAGAACTTGAGATGACCAAAGAACTCATGGTATATCCAGAGTCCCGAGACCTTTTCAGATTGCGGCTCTGCAATTGTGTTGCTAATTCTGAGACGATGTTTGAAGAACTTCATTTCTGTTTCTTGGGAGTAGAAGATAAGAATCACAAGCAAGGAACTCATTAGTGAAAGGAAATGCATTATCATTTGAGAAAATAACATATTCAGGCAGTAGTAGTAGTACACCCTTTTGCTGGGGAAAACAAAACCTCAGACCTCTCTGTCCCTCTTTAGTTGCAAAAGATTTCTTTACAGTTCCAGCTCTGGAACTGCTGAATTACAAGAGTGAACATCTCTCTAAGCATGGTTGATATGCTGGCAGACAACACAGTGCTCGGCGATCAGCCTGTCCATCACACTTCCATCTTCAATAATCAATTCCCTGCTCCTCTTATTCCATAGGTGTAATGCATAGCTATCCTGCAGCTCCACTAGGAGCCGGTCAGCCCATCTTGATTGAGATCCAGTTGTCGGCTTTCTGAAAAGCCTCCGGATCTGTATCCAGTCGACTGGATAGAATGCCTTGGGTTGCAAGACCGTTATGTTGTAATCTGGTAGGCTTCCACCCATCCTCTGAAAGACTCTTGAAAACATAGCCGGCCCGTTGTAGCCCCATTTGTTCCCGTTGAAGGTGTTTGAGAATTCTTTTATGAACTCCAACAGCATAGGATGGCCCAGATCAAACGCCACAACTGCATTGTTGATGCTGCTCCATTGGTTAGTCACTGGATCCACAGTCTGAGCTCCGACTGCGTTCCTTAGCTCTGAGAAATCCTTGAGAACTATGAAGTCAGTATCGATATACACCCCTCCATATTTGTATATCATTGCAATCCTTATAAGATTGGAGAGGTTTATAGTTAGAGGAATGTAGCCAGGATCCCTAGTGCCGCTCTTCATGTCCTCGAGCCAATCTTCACCAGGTGTATCTTGCACCAAAAATGGCACGTCAGGTGTGACTGCAAGAACTTTGAAGCCAAGATCGAGGACAGGCTTGAGCTTTCTGTAACCATGCTTGGAGTCCATGGACCTGGAGACGATGATCAAACATGCTTCTGGATTTGAGTGGAAGAGACTGTCCATGCACAGGAATTCTCTCGGTCCAAATGTCTTGGCTGGTGAGAGCCATACCATGTAGAATTGGACTGAGCAGTTGTTGTTGAAGAACTCCAGGATTCGGCCATGGAACTTCTCGCTCAATTCGTTCGAATTGAGCAGGTCGAGTTCCGGGAGCTTCTGTCGGAACCATTCAATTCTTCCAGCTTTTGTCACATTCTCCGGAGGGACCAGAGGATCCACGATTTCACCCTCGTCATCGTAGTCTTCCTGATCAATGTTCATTTGCGTGTTAAGTTGTGGCAACTCAGTGGTGATGGGGAGCGCTGGTTCCTGCAAGGCTGTGCCACTTGAAGAAGAAGGGCCGGAAAAGAGGTGGTCGGAATAGAGTAGGAAGAATATGGCGGCAAAGGAGATGGCCGAGAAGATTGGCATTTTGGCACTACGGGCAAAGTTGCGGAGATCAAACATCTTCTTGGACATTTTCTTGAGGATCTTGGGGAGTGCAGGCAGGGAGAATTCGTTGCGTGAGACCATTTGGGAGGAGCAAAAAGGGAAGTGTGATGAGAAACCAGAGCTGCCTTTGGCCATATTTTATATATCCTCTCTATACAATACAAGCAAGCTTCTCTTCAGAAAGTGCTATGGCACTTGCAACGTTCAAAGCATGGCGGGAGTCGGATGTACCGAAAAAGAAATGATGGCTAAATAATTTCTTTGTCAGCATTAGTGGCGTATTAAATCCCCTACTAGCAATCGTCCTCCTCTTTCAGACAGCCATCCAGATTGAAGCAATAACTCGTGGTTGGTATCAGCAATTTAAATTTTGATGATAGTCAGAACTAAAATGCTACCATTCATTGTCAAACTTGAAAACTTTAATTATACACTAGTAAAAACCCGCTCGCTATCGTTTCGTGTATCATAAATATAAATATTTCAACGAGTAATAGTTTTAATATTGACCCAAAAATGAAAATAAGTTTATTTCATTCTTAATCATTTTTTTCATAGGTTTTTTATTTACAATAGCATATGGTCGATAAATTTGCATAGGGTAGAAGAGTCGTCGAATAGATTATTTATGTTTAAACTTCTTTCATGATGCTATTGTTTCAATTTGTATGGCTAGTAGTTGATCATGCTGTAACTTTTGCAGAATGAAATAGCTTCTCTAAATCTTTTCAAGAAGTATTAAAAAAAACTGTGAGAGTTAAGCTGAAAAACTATCAGAATTACTTTCTAATATAAGTGGTAATTTAAAATGACTAAAAAAAATTCTAACATGAAATATGAATACAAATTCTAAAAATAAAAAGTATTGAAAATGGATAAAGTTAAATTTATTTCATATTAAATAATATTATTTTTGAAATTTATTTTTTATAATGATATAAATCAAAATAAATTATGTTTTCTAGAAAAAAAATAATATATGGTATGGACAATTTTGTATTTTCAAATTGGAGTTTCTGCTTTTAAGTTATGAAAAACTTCAGTTTTAAAAAAAATGAAACTTTAGAGGTGTTTGACTTGGTTTCAACTTTTGAAACATGAAACTTCTAAAATTCGGGCCAAACATAATCGTACTCTTTTGGTTTTCATTTATATTTGGTTTGAGATAATCGTGGTTGTCCTTTATGCAATTTTTGGACTGATTGCAAGGTTGAGGAGGTTCAACTCGCATTGATAGGGTCAAATTAGGTTGGATACTCATGAATTTGGGTTCAATTGTCTTTCTCAAACAAAAGAAAAAGGCGAAATGAAAAATACTAAAGGTAAAACTCGCTACTGACTCAAAAGTCGTTAACACCAAGTTCAACTCGCTTTGACCTGACTAAACCAAGTTTTGGAAAATTCACACCTGACACACCCGCCAATTACAAAAAGAGATAAAACTCGCTCCCGCCGAAAACCTGTAAAACCGAGTTCAAGTCACTTTGATACGGTCGTATTAGGTTGTATACCCATGAGTTTGGACTCAATTGTCATTCTCAACAAAAAAAAAAAGATAAAAAAATATTAAAGCGTATAAAACTCGCTCATGACCCCGAACTCTCAACAATGCATTCAACTCGCTTCGACTGAGTCGACCCAGTTTTAACAAATTCATAATTTACCTAACCTGTCAATTACAAAGCGGATAAAACTTGCTCTCGATACCATGCGTACAAAACTCGCTTTCGCTCTAAAATTGGTCAACAACGTGTTCAACTCGCTTTGAACAATTTTTTGTCAAATTAACATTTGGTTCAACCGCCTACTACCAAAGCGGATAAAGCTTGCTTAATTCGATTTCAAGTCGCTTTGAGTGGATCGAATTAGGTTGGATACCCATGGATTTGGGTTCAATTGTGATCTTGCTCAACAAAAAGAAAAAAGTGAAAGAAAAAAAAAATAAGGCGGACAAAACTCGGTCCTGATACAAAACTCGCCAACACTGAGTAGATATTGTATGCATTTTCAGTAGCGGCATTGAGAAACGGTGAAGGGGACACTACAACAAAATTCATATATAGCTGCTAATTGTTGAGGCAAATATTGTATTTGCCTCTAAAAGGATATTATATACAACATTTATATAATTTGCCTCAATAGATACAATTTTGTGCCTCTAAAACAATTAAATATACTACGAATATATAAGCTTAGTTTGGCCCTGCTGTAGCTTTTGCAGAAGCAGCTTCTGGCTGGAGCTTTTAGATAAGTACTTTTAAAAAAAAAAGCAGTTGAGTGTTTGGCTGTAAAACTTTAGAAGTGCTTTTTAATATAAGAGATTGTATAAAATGACTATAAAGGACTTATAATATAAAATATGAATAAAAATTCTAAACAATAAAAAGTAGTCAAAATGGATCTTGTTAGATTTCTTTTATATTAAATAATATGAATTTATAATTTATTTTATTTTTAAAATGATATAAATGAAAGAAAATTATATTTTCTGAAATAAAATTAAAATATGGTAAGGATAATCTTGTATTTTCAAAACAGTTTTTCGCAGAAACACGCCAACTAAGCATTCAGTGTCTGTCCAGTCATCAAGTTAACTGACGGAGTTAACGGAGTGGACAGAAATGGATATTTCGTGTATTTCGATAGTTGTAGATATATTTGTCACAAACCTGAGAGTTGTGTATATATTTGTCTCAAACCTGGTAATTGTGGATATATAGTTGTATTTTGTCATTATTCAACTAGCCTATTTGGCATCTACGTGTAAAGTTCGGTTGCTTTTTGGCTTATGTGGTAGGTGAGATGGCATCGATTCAACATTCCGTTAGTCAATTTAACGCCGTCTGACACGCCGTTATAGTTTCAGACGAAAGTTGATAGATTTGTCACACAACCTTCCGATTTTTGGATATTTCGTGTATTTCGATAGTTTTGAATATATTTGTCACAAACATGATAGTTGTGGATATACAACTGTATTTTGCCTTTATTTTATTGGAAATCCAATAACAACCCTAGCTAGTTTCAGCAAAGAAGTAGCGTTTCATTTTTCTTTTCTTCTCCTCCCTCCGCCTTGTATTCTTTCTTTTCTCAAGCGAGTGACAGCGCCGCAACAAAGGTGATGGTAAGCTGCAGGCAATGTTGGGGAAATTGTTCACGTATACTATTGTCTTGCAACACAAGCAAGCACATAAGATTAAGAAAACATGCAAAGACACATGCAAGCGTCCTAGCCGATAGAATTCACTATCTCTCCTTAAAGAATCTTATTCCCCTCAAGTACCCAAGGTTATGAAATGACTCCTCCCAGGATAGAAAGGACGTACCTTTTCCGGCGTAGCGGTACCTCAAACCCCGAAACCATCGAACGCAGCGAACCGGCGAGAACCACACTTGACTCTATTTTCTCTTTGAAAAGAATGCAGAAAACTAGTTTTGGATTTTTGCAGAATTTTCGTATCGGAAAAAATCTCTTTTCAAAACCAGAGGGGGGTTAGGTGTTATTTATAGAAAATGAAGGGGTGCGTACGAAGGGAGGCGACTCTTCATATGGGTGGTTACACCCCAACCAACACATTGGTTCGTGTTTGAAATAATGAACCATTGCATCGGTTCGGCCCATGGTAGTTGGACCGGTTTGGTTTGATTTGGTTCAACTTGGTTTGGTTTGGTCCGTTTGGTACACAAACCAATTTAACCGATTAACCAC